AGCTCAGGTACTTAATTTACCTCCATGCTGAGCATCTAGCTGCTGTTTGCATTTCACAGGAGAGATCCATTACCCATATCAATAGCAGCCATCCAATTATAAACAGAGCAACTCACTTTAGCTATCATAATATATTAGGCTGCAAAGAGGCAAATCATGAAGATGATACATCATAATTACAACAGACTGATAACAGGTTATATGCATGTGAGAGCTATCAAAGGAGCAACACATAACATCCAAAACCAACACCAGCTATTAGAGGAGGCAGATTGGCCTTTTCCCCTTTCCCTTGTGATTTGCAGTGACAAAAAAAAACACAACCCCAAACCCACTGCACATCAAACTACTAATGTTTCTGCTTTCAAAACCTGATTTTTACTGGCAGGAGTTTTATCCTCATAATGGCAAGTATCTGCTTTTCTTCTTACCCTTGAGAACTTCATACTATTATGAGGGGGGAAAGCCAATCAAAGGGAAGACAAAAAATGTAGGATTGGTCTCTGTGGAAAATGTGTATCTATTTTGAAAAAGTTTGCCCCTGCAGGAAATCTAATTTGTGGGTTTTTTATTGGTGCAAAAGTTGTTTTTTTAGACATTCATTTATTTCCTGTAAAAGAAGGCAAAATCTGATTAAGTTTTTTTCCAATATAGCCTCAACTGCAGAGGCAAGATTCAACTAGTTCTGGTGAAATGAGGAGCACACTGATGAAGTTTCAAAGATTTTGTTATTTACACATTGTAGAAACTGAAACTTAATTCGGCAGATGGTATATGTTGTTAACCAGACATTGGCAGGCAATTGGTTAAAATGATTCCCTTATAACAATAGCTGCTGATTTCCTAAGAACTATCGCACTTAGATGCATTATAAATTAAGACTCAAAAATTCATGATATAATACTCGTTTTATCAACAGTATGCTAGGAAATTGTGTATTGTAGGCTTGTCATGTAACCCAAACCCCGAGTTTTGTTTTGTTTTGCAAAGGACACACATTACATGCATGAAATGCATGCATACTACTTAAAGTAAAGCTGCTTGATTCTGTTCACAGGCACTGGGGCTATTATCTATGAAAAACCTCAGTGTATCTTGGTCATGCTTGAGGGTGACCAAGAAGTGGGCAGGGTTAAGAGAAGGGATAACAAATGACTGGAGTTGGACCTGACCTCAAAGTCTGGCACCAGGCCTGGCTTCCTGAATTTCAGTTTGATGCTCACAACTGTAAAGACTTCTTCAGTCTTCAAATATCTGAAGGGCTATCACATAGAAGATGAAGCAGGTCTGGCACAATCTCTCCCTCCACTTACACCTTTCTTGGCAACAGGGCAAAAGTGAATAGGCCTACTTTCCTCTCTCTATTATACCCCCCCCTCCAAAGCCGTAATCTGGAAATATGCAGATACCATCCTATCTCTGATATATGAGGAACACCAGCACTGAGTTGAATCAACCCCAGAAGCAAACTTAGCAACCACCTTGAGTGTCATTTAATGTACTATAATTCTATTTTTATTTAGTTTACTGGTTTTATGAAAAGTTTTTGATATTGCCCTCTACAGCATCAGTTGTTAGGAAAGTTTAAAAATAAAATATAATTATATGATTGAAAAAGTAAAATATAATTATACTGCTCACAATGATATATTAAGGGAGGGGGATTGTTATCAACATTTCAATTAATAAAAGATAGCAAATACGAAAGTTGGCAATATGCTTTGGGGAAAGAGAAGGGAGGGTACATGGGCCTTTTTCCAAATTATTTTTATTAATTTTCAAAATTATTACAAATCAAACCAATTTAATTTAATTTAATACAATTTCTTAAAATAGGTTTCCCGCTCCTGTTCCAAACAAATGACCATCATTTCCTCACATTGCCGCATCATTTCTGATTTAAGGTCCAGCTGACAACCTTCACTTGCCATTAAACCATTCTTCCAGCTATGTGTACCCCTTCATTTATATTGTTGTTCCAGATCTGGTGTGCTGGGAAAATCAATTACTATCTTCCATTGTTCAGTTCTTTGCAGGGTCACATTCCTTCTGCTGTTTAGCGACTAGCATACGAGCTGTGGCCATAAATAACTCACAGAATGTGTATCCAAACTCTGTCATTAAAATTTCGCTCTGGAGTTCTTCCTCGGCACAGTTAAAAACAAGTTCTTTTCTCAAATTCAGCCTCTCTGCCAGATCTGTTCGGCAGCAGTTCATTCTTTTTTCATTGCAGCAACAGCTCCTAGTCCAGTCCAGGAATAATTTTAAATAAAGTCCAGTCAGCCTCAGTCGAGGGGGGGGGGCATAGCAAAACCTTTTTAAATTCCTTGTTGAGCATAAATCGAAAGCCTCCCTCCTCTTTTCCAAAGTAACAAACATAATAACACAACAGCGGCTACACACGTGTCTTTCATTTTGCATGGGAGGACAGGAAGAAAGGAGACCATTTTAAAACCATATGAAAGCACAAAGCATCTTGTCCTCCCCCTTCCTTTCCCAGCTGTTGTAATGATTCTCAAGCGTCAAAGAAAACATTACCTTCAAAGAGCCAAGCCCAGTCCTTTTGGCAGCTGACTGATTGCAGCCCATTAGCATATATCGGTCCAGGAGCGCCTCTTGATTAATGCCAATTGTCCAAATTATGGAGGAACCAACCACAAATCATGCCAGAGACAGAGGCTCATCCATGGCCGGGACACACTCCTAGGTCACACCCACTCTGCCTTTCAAGTTGGCAGACACGTGCTTGAGTGGCACATGCATTGAGCTCCCTAGACCCCACTGGGGAACATTGCCATGATTTTTGGCTCATAAATCCTGGCTTTCTCCTGCCTGAACATCCTTGCTGCCCGCAGAGGGCAGCAAAGAGCAACCATCATTGACTCATGATGTAGCCGGAAACCAAGGGTACATGGGCAACATGATTTCAACTTTCTTCTTGGCCAGCCTGTAAAATGGGAAAGTGCATGTGGCTAATAATGAAGTCCATAAAGCTGACCGATTTAGGCAAAGTACAAAGATGTAAATTCCTCACCTTTATTGGGCTTATAGCAAGCAACTGTTCTTAAAGGGAGGTATGGAAACTTATAACTAAGTTTAGCCCTCAAAAATATAATATATGCATAGGAACGATGGATTTACTTAAAGTAGATCCACTGAGATAAATGGGCCTAACTTAGCCATGTTCCTTAATTTCAAAGAGTTTGTTCTGAGTAAAATATGTACACCATTCTATGAATTTCGAAAAGCCCCATAAAGGTTTATATTTATCTTTTATGGTCCAAGGTGCTCACAGTATGTAAATTTAGTTACATTTGCAATTAGTCACTGGATTCTTTAGCCTTTTACTGTTAAAGGGCTGACTATGCTATTGGATGCATATAAACATCAGAGGCACAAGACATGCCAGAGAGATTTTTCTGTTGCTCTTCTGCTACTGCTTGGAAGAGTGTTAGTCACTTGATGTGTCTCAAATGTAACAAGGGGCAGGTGGGAAAGAGAAGGAGAGAAAATGATGGGACAGATTCTGAGGTGATATTGCCAGGATGCCCCATCATTTCCCCTTTCCTGCCACTAGCAAATAAAGGAGTCAAATTATTTAAAGGTAAACCTTCTTGTCCAGAAAATCAATTCTTTCTGTCTAAGTGGCATCCTGCCATTTGTACAGTCAAGCTGATAAATTCCAGCTTTCTTCTTGGCAGAACACAAAAGTATTACAGAACTATCCTTCTTCTCCCCTCCCCCCCAAAAAAGAGTAAAGTCAATTCCTAATAATATTCCACTGATATCAGGATCACCTTCTTTCCTTACTTCCAAAAATGCTAAAACTGTCAAATGAATTTTGAAGTTAGCTAGTAGATCACTGGAGGTTTTTTACAGAACTGGTTCCTTTTAAGTTTGTCCAATAAGAATAAGCTGGTTTGCTTTTTAAAAAAAAAAACAACTGTTGGCAGCCACTGTGTAGTGATGGAGGGAGGGAATTCTTCTCTGCATCTTTACGAGCCAGTGGGAACATTCGTGCAAGTGCATGGTTGCTGATAGTTGCCCCTACTGATATCAGCAGCCTGTGCCCATCCAAGAGCAGTGATATATTCACAGCAGCACCAAAACACACTCCAACTTGGTGCTTAAAGGTATGGGTGAGAATTTCAGTTCCCCATTGCTCCACATTGTAAATACCATTGGTTTCTCCAAAGCTGCCTCACTAGCAGCTGAGAATGTCAATGCATACACACACACACACACACACACACACACACACACTTTCAATACTCCACATATGTGGATGCTTTAAAAACTACCTCAACAAATGTAGCTCTGTTCCATTAACTTTTATGATGGTAACAAAGAAGAATTATCATAACCATATTTTAAGTTTATGACAGCCCATGCCCTGTTCTGTGTATGTTTATCTCATTTAATTCAGTGGGACTTTTTGAGTACAGTGGTACCTCCGGTTACATACGCTTCAGGTTACATACGCTTCAGGTTACAGACTCCGCTAACCCAGAAATAGTACCTTGGGTTAAGAACTTTGCTTCAGGATGAGAACAGAAATCGTGCGGTGGCAGCAGCGTGAGGCCCCATTAGCTAAAGTGGTGCTTCAGGTTAAGAACAGTTTCAGGTTAAGAACGGACCTCCGGAATGAATTAAGTACGTAACCAGAGGTACCACTGTATACTGCTTCAGTCTCCCTTTTCTCCATTGGTGCACATACCCTACCCACCTTTCTACATTCAAAAACAGCTTACCCAGTCACCCATATCTTGGCAGCCCAAATATGAGTTTCCATAACATGTTTCCATGACATAATAGTAGCCCCAGTGGCAGACCTGTATTACCTGTATTATCTATTATCATTTCCCCCCACCCTCTGGGCCACACTTTCAGAATATAAATTTACTCATGCCACATCAAATTTCTGTTGATAAGAAATACATTGGAAAACAAAAAGAAACAACTCCTAGCTGTGCTTGTTTTAAAACACAGAACATAACTACTTCATATAGCCCAGCTGGTAGAGCATGAGACTCTTAATCTCAGGCTTGTGGTTTCAAACCCCACATTGGGCAAAATATCCCTGCATTGCAAGGGGTTGGGTTAGATGATCCCTCCCAACTCTATTATCCAGAAAGTATGAAACAATACAGCTACATAACACAAATCATTCCCAAAACATAAATATAAATTAGCCTCTTACATATGTACCTTAAGTATGCATACAGATTCAATGAGAGGTGAGAGCTTGCTTTTGCTGGACAATCTCATTAGGTGTATCTCCTCATCAACACAAATAAGCCTTTCTCTTTTTTGAACTTCCATATTTGTCAGAGGTGAAAATCCCTGCTCACAACAATATGTCGTGGAGAACTGTGGAGACTTCTTGAAGAGAGGCGTGAATACTGCTTCTGGTTATATATTGCACATTCATGGTGATTTGTGTTATTGGGGCAGTCATATACAATCCCACTTTCAATGATGTTTGCACCTGCAAAACTCTTGGGGCAGTCATACTGCTTCATGTTCAATCAGTGCATAGTTTGTAACTTCCTGCTAAAATCCCGTAACTTTTCATATTCACCATCTTCACTGTTGTTGCACTATAGCTCCTCCCAACAGCAATAAGATGCTAGTGCTAGGAAAGCATGGCAGAATGACTAATAAAACAGAATAAATGTACCACCAGTGCACTATTACTACGTCAAGAACATGTTGCACAATACACCTGCAATAAAGCCCTATGTCTGTGGGCTTCAGCATCTAGTAGCCACAGTCCAGTGAACAGATATAAAAACTGTTAAGTACTGAGTTGAATAGGATCCAAAAGGCAGCAGTCTGATTGGTCCTAGAACAATAGGGGCCAGAATGCAGCAGTCTGATTGGTCCTAGAACAATGCAGCAGTATGATTGGTCCGCAGGAGCCACCCAGTCCAGCTCCAGGTGGAAGTGAATCCGCAACCTGATTGGCCTACAGGAGAATCCCAGAATTAGCCAATCATGTGCGGCCCATTGTGTAAATAATGTATATAAAGCAGATATTTTGGGGGAACTTTCATTCCTCACTACTATGAGCTGAATAAAGAGCATGAAATCCACACTCAACTCCGAGTATATTTCAAAAACTTAAACCCTTTTGAACTCAGGGGGTTAGGAGCTCCAATTATGTGCTTGACTGTGACTTTTGTATGCAATCCATGCCACCAAATCAAAAGTTCCATTAACTGTACTGGCGTGGGATCACCACTGCCATATGCTTAATACACCAAGTAGTAATTGTCTTGTAGATCCCAACAAGCCTACAGCTAAGCAGAGCTATATTTTATTTTCTGTATTAAAGTATAACACAGCTGTCATGTCTCTCCCCACTCTCACCCCCTTTTTAATGTGGGAATACTGCCAAGCCAGTAAGCAAAAAATTCCCATGAGAAAGATAGTTCAGCTGGGTCACAGCTACCCATGCATGTGTCAGTACTGAGGCTCAGACAAACATGATAGGTCATGGAAATTCTCTTTGTACAGGAGAAAATTCTGTAGGGCCAAAGTGAAAAGCAGGTAAATGATAGCAAGAGCTGGGGAAACAAAAGATGTAGGATTGAGGCAGTTAGGATTGGAGTCAGGAAGCTAACTTGCAGTTGTTTCTTGGTAGAATGTTCAGTTGATGGCTCCAGCACATGTTACATTTTCAGATAAGAGGATTAAAGTCTGTGTTGGGAATAGTACAATGGCACCTACTTGAAGGGTAGATTTGCTTGTCCACTGTAGCATCATTGGGTTGCTCTAGTGGACAAAAACAAGAGCAGCTTTTGCAGGAAACAGTCTGGCGCATCCTCAATTTTGTGTACTCTCTGAGCTTAAACAGTCCATAACGGAAACTCAGAACAGTGCAAACCTATTTCCTACAACAAATGAATAACTCAAAGGCTAACAGGGGTGGTAAATAGCATTGCAGGCTGCATAAGAATATGGTCCCAGTGATGCTACATTGGACAAGCAAATCTACCCTTGAGGTAGGTAAAACGGTACTATTTCACTTGCCAACTATGGAGGACCATAGTTTTCAGATCCCTTGCAGGGTTGTTGCTAGGTTTACAACTGGATAATCCGCATGAGTTGCTTTGAACATTTGAAATCACTCAACCATGCCTAGGAGCAAGTCCCATTAAACTAAGTGCATAGGTTTGTGTTAAATCAGTTGGACAATTGAGAACTGACAATGGTAATCCTCAATTCTGTTGACACTAATAAATTATAATGCACACAGTTGTAAATGTTCATGTACTTATATGCAAATTACTCTAAGAGGAACCAGTTCATTAATTTATCTTATTTATCACAATCAGACACAATCCCTTCAACAGCAGAAGCACCCATGTCATCATTTCATATTTAACTACTAATTAATTAAAGTTTTCCAGTAGTTTCAGTGCAATAATATTAACTAGCAAGTTTATTATTTGAATAGAGGAGCATCTACAAATGCATCAGTCCACCTTCAGGGCTTCAGGGGAAGTTTGTGTATTGACCTTATAATAAAGTTTAACATCTGTACCTCTAAAAGTTAGCATCAACATGCCTATTAACACAATGAGGAAAAACTAATTAAAGCAAATTAGCTTAATGTGCACATGCAGGATAAGACAGATTACTTCTTAAAATCCAAGAAGATAATAGCACCCATATGGGATATGTTTTTGGCATTTTTCATATAAATTGGACAGTTTTAGAGGATAAGTAAGGTACAAAAGTCCTTACAGGCAATTATGTCTTACCAATGCTTGTGGCTGACATCATAAAAGTATAATTTTAATTGCTATTAATTGCATTAAGTCTACTCTTATTGAATACTTAATGCCATCTCTGACAGTAGTACTAATTTATATACTTTAATGAAGCTTTCAGACCAGAAATGTGGAATTATATGAACACTTACACAATATTTAAAGCATCACATTTTATTGGTTACAAAGCTTGGGTTACAAAGGCATTTTGTTCTATAAATGTTCATCTTCCTTGTCATAATAAGAGATTAGCATGAGCGCTTCTGCAAGATACATGTTTTGGAATGTAATTTATGTCTCAAAACCTATCTTACATTCCAAGCATTATAGTATAGTCTTTTGACATGCTATACTACAGGCAATAAGGCAAATACCGAAGGACTGAATTAGGGCTTAGTTAAAATAAACACCTAATTATAACTTCATATGCAATAATTATTTTCTGTTGTGATACATATAAACCATCGCCAGATTCAGCTCTTAACATTGAAAGGAGCTTGTTCCTGAATGTTATGCCACATGTTTGTCCACATGTTTGTTAAAGTGAACCGTAACTAAATAGAGTAAAATGTTTGCATAAGAAACAGAAATAACATCGAGTTAATTTGCTGTTCTCTTCTGTGTTCCTTTTCAAAATAATTTTTCCAGTGTTACTAGTCACTCTAGGTTTGTCCTGTTATCGGGACTTGCATTATTAAAAGATGAGAAATTAATTCATCTCAATCAGGGCTAGTTTCAACATTGGTGAATTAGTAAGCTACTTCGTTACACTAATGGAAAAATACATCCATTATTACCTTCTAATTTGTTTTCAAGTTATTTTTCTAAAGCTACACAATCTCTTTAAAGTGGTCAAGGCACTATACATGAAATGAATTATTGAATGGGGAGGGAGGGAATCTGCTTTAAAGAACTCCCAGGCCTTTTGTAAGTTTGAGGTGGATGCAAAATGTTAATGAACAAGAAGTTTTCTTCCAATTGTTTTTCTTTTTTTAAAGCAAAATAGTAGAGGAAAACGATGCCATTCATTTTTCTTGTGAGCTACCAAAGCTCTTTATAATTAAGGTGATGCCCCTTATAGATCTTGTGATGATGCAGAATATTTTTCAGTAGTTTTTGGAGAGAGATTTCAATGTTGACACAATTTCAAAGGCACATCAGTGTCAGATATAGCTGCTGGGTATCAGTTACCAATTCCACTGCAGTTTCTATGGATCATCAGATAAATCAAACTGAAATGCACGCCACCCCTCCCTTAAATATGTTTTGCTAAGTTTTCACTGTTCTACTTTTCTGAGTCACAAAGGATAAAAGTCAAAATACAGCCGTCATTTCTTTTACAGTACTGTTTAGATTACAGTGGAACCTCGGGTTGTGAACTTGATCTGTGTGGGAGGCACGTTCGCAACCCGGAGCGTTCGCAACCTGCAGCGCCGCATCTGCGCACAAGCATGACGCAATTCGGCGCTTCGGTGCATGTGTGAGCGCCGAAACCCAGAAGTAACCCGTTCTAGTACTTCTGGGTTTCGGCGCGTCCATAACCTGAAAACGTGTAACCCGAAGCATCTGTAACCGAAGGTACAACTGTACTCTGATTAGCTATGCAACAAAAGTACAAAGGACTTGATTTCAATATTGGACATTGCACCAAATGATGATTAAATAAGCTTAACTGTGATTTTGTTTATTTTGTGTGAGTTCTGAATTGAAAAGCCATGGTTTGCAATCACACAAGAAGCAAGTTTCAGAAATCATACTTTGACCGGGTTTTGAAATGGATTGGTGTTATGCCTGGATTAACAAAACAGAATTAAGGGCACTGCTTAAATTCTGGAAGTGATTTATTTATTTAATATATATCCTGCCCTTACTATGAAAGAGCCCAAGGTGGCAAACAACACATGATGAAACAATAAAAACTTCTTTAAAACAATTCCAGTATAGATGCAGACTGGAAAAGATCTCAATTTAAAAGGCTTGCTGAAAGGTGGAGGTCTTCAGCAGGTGCTGAAAAAAACCAGACAACTTCAGTGGTTTATTGGAGTGCTAAGTCAATTGGAAATGAAAACAGATAAGCCACTTTGAACCATGGTTGGAGCCATGCCTGAAAGTTGGAAGCTAAATCATGGGTTGGGCTCCACACTATGGTTAGCACAAAGCATAGTTTTATCATGAAGTCTGAACTGAGTCCTTGTAGGTAGCTGTGGTTCTACATAAGGCATATCTTACCTCTTGAGCTATCTGCACCACACCACTCATTTCCATACTCACAAATGCATGTTTACTGCAACATCAGT